TAGAGTCACAGGGGTTCTTAAGAGATTTAATCCAGTTCACACACTTGGCAGATAAAGTAATCAAGGTCAAGATAAGGGAAGTGACTCACCCAAGGTCACTTCGGTAGTAAGTTAGAAAGCCAAAACACAAACCTAGGTATTTCTTATTTAAAGCCAGTGTTATTTCTACTACTGCTCTTTGCAAAGTTACCAATCTTTATCCTCACTGCCACATCGATGGCTGTTTCTCAGTCTTCATCCTTCTTGGCCTCTCTGAAGCATCTGACGGTGTTGATCATGCTCTTTAGGTTTTCTGATGCTGCCTTCTCCTGGTAATCCCCCTACCACTCTACTATTTCTTAGTTTCCATTGCTGAATCGTACCCTCCCTGATCTAATGTGTACACCCAAGGCTCTGGCCCAGGTTCTTTATTCCTCTCTCTGACAGTCCCAATTAGGGAGTTCATGGGGTTCCATGGACTTATTTAACCATCATCTCTCTGCAGATCCTCCCAAACCCTTTTTTCCCAAGCTCCAGTCCAACACTACTGCCTCTTGGATATGTCCGTAGGCATCTCAAACCCAGGATGTCCATAACAGAACTCATTATCTTCCCCAAAAATCTATCCCTAGTCTAAATATTCCTATTTCTGCTGAGAGTACCATCATCCTTCCTGTCACTCCAGTCCTAATCCTCCCTGTCATCTTCAATTCCTCATTCTCACTCATCCCATATATCTGGTCACTTGTCATCACTTCTCTATGTGCACAGTGCTCACACATATTCACTCCTTTCCACTCGTATAACAACCACCTTATTTCAATTCCTCATCATCTCTCTATGGGACTACTGTAATAGGCTCCTAATTGGTCTCCTCAAAACACTTTATATTGTTCCGCTTACATCCTTTTCTTATACCAAACTAAATCCCTAAAGTTCCTTCTGTTAAAATAGTAACTCCTGTTCCATCTGTTTATGTACTTTGTCTTTTGAAGGGCCTACAGAATGCAACTATGATTGATGGGCAATTAAATAAACTGGCTCATTATCAGACCTTCCATTTCATACAGAATAGAAGGAAGTTGGTGGCACAAGGAGTATCTAGGAGGAGGTGCCATTACAGCTGTAGAATCCTGCACCCATAGATGGACTACAGTAACATCCTAGGAAAAGGACGAGAAGGAATAGTGTTGAACCTTAGAAGGATGGCTTAGACATAAGGACGTCCTGATCAAGAGATTGGAGAAAAAAAAAACACTCTCTGGAAGAGGTCATAGACTTTATTCTTTAGGGAAGGAAATCTATGTAGAGTTAGAAGAGTCTCATCTGGAATCCTGGAATAGAAGGGTAGTCTAGATACCCTTTTTTCTAATGCCCCCAAAACATCAATTTCAGATTAAAATTTGCTCTTCCTTCCTCACACTCCCCAAAAGATTCTTCAATCTTATCTGGAGCACAAGATACTTCTATAGGTACTAAATATTTTCTTTTAAACTGATTTTATTGAGCACCTACTATGTGCAAAGCAGTGATCTATGCAACAAAAATAGGCTTTTTGCCAAACAAACTGATGAACTGACCACATTTGACCATGTATGCCTCATCCTGCACTCTCAGTCCAACACGTCAGTCCCTAAAGGATTGAGGTGTATGCCCTGTGGAAGGCAGGGGTCATTGCATCCATCTGAATTCTGATGCCTTTTTCGTGTATTGGTTTTACATTATTATGGTAACTGCATGCTTTTTATCTTTGTTTTGCCTCTCTGAGTCACTTCATATTAACCTTCTTGAATTTTATTCTGAATTTTTTTGGGGTCATTTCTTATGACTCAATAATACAGACATACCTCAGAGATATTGTGGATTTGGTTCCAGACCACCGCAATAAAGTGAATACGCAATAAAAAGAGTCACACGAATTTCTGGGTTTCCCAATACATATAAAAGTTATGTTTACACTATACTGTAGTCTATTAAGTATATAATAGTATCATCTCTAAAAAAAAAAGTAACACTTAAATTAAAAAATACTTTGTTGCTAAAAAAAAAAAAGAAAATAGGCCTTTTGGTTAGGGGGGCACTGAGGAGGAAAAAAATTGGGGATGTAGTCGGAAAGTCTCCTCTTTTTGTAAACCCTTGTTAGAAGAATACTTCTCTTCCTGAAATTAGGACATCCCTGGAGATCTGGAATATGTGATCACTATAGGTACAAGACAAGGTCCCTGCCCTGAAAAGCTTACAATCTGGATGAAAAAGCTATATTCGGGCATGGATATAAGAACCTAATTCATAGCAGCCTTTATCTAGACAGTCTTAAGGGCATAAAACTAAGACTGAAAAACACCTGGTAAAAGCTTCCTCATGCATCAAACTATTTTCAGTGTAAAAGCAAATGAGGGCTTTTTCAGCAGCCAAACGCAAATGTCAACATCTTCACACTAAATCTCTCTTCTTTATTCACAGCATAAGTAGCTGAGTACCTATTCTACAAAGAGTAATATGTTCTCCCAGCTGACAAGAGTTGCAGAAGCAACACACTTTAAAGGGGAGTAAAAGGAATAGAGGGGCAGCTAAGGGGCCCCGTGCATAGAGTGCCGGGCTGGGAGTCAGGAAGACTCATCTTCGTGAGTTCAAATCCACCTTCAGAACACTTACTAGTTGTGTGACCCTGGGCAAGTCACTTAACCCTATTGGCCTCAGTTTCCTCATCTGTCAAATAAGCTGGAAAAAGAAATGGCAAACCACCCCAAATGGAGTCATGGAGAGTCGGACACAAGTGAAAAATGACTGAACAATGACAAGAAAAAGGGACAGCACCCTGGAAGCACACAATAAAAGGACAACCCAGAGAGCAGTCCTAAGAAGCAGACACCACAAGATTTCAAAGCACAGTAGTCTGGAGTGAATTAGCTTGTGAAGTAAACAAACTTTAAACGATGGTAGCCACTGTATTGCTGTAATACAAATACCATAGCTCATGATTTAAGCTTCCAACTGATCCAGTGAGCATCTGCTAAATAAAAGCACTGGAGGATCATTAAGTCAATGTTGTTCCTGGCCTCCACGAGCTTACATTCTATCAGTGGGTACATCGTATTCGCAGATAAGTATAAACACCTGATTGCTTCAGGAAGAAGAGGACATACCACCAGGAACTGGGGGTCAAATACTAACTAACGGTTCCCCAAAAGGGGCCTTCAGGCCTTGAATGAGCCTTGAAGGGAGCTGCGGATTCTAAAAACTGTTGACTCTTCTATAAACTATGGTTCAAGGCCATAATTCTGTAACCTTGCTTAAGAATGAAGGGAAACATATAAGTCACAGAAAGAATTATAGTAGAAATAAAGGTTTTGGTCCTTAAATTTCAGCTATCTGGAAAATCCGTTTGGGCAAACGGCCAGCCTTCAGCAATGCTAAGTAAATCTGGAGGCATTTGTCCTTTTCCTTTACACTGATTGAGCTAGTGTTGGAAAACAAGAGGGTGGGGCCTGAGGATTAGCCATAGGAAATAACTTTGAAAACATTAAAACAGCATGGAAACTAATCGGAACAAAGAGCTCTAGAATTTGGTTCGCCATCGGACTCCAGTCTGGCCAGCTGCTAGCCACCCCTCCTGATGTTCTCTGTACCGACATTCCGTCTCCTACTTCTCCCCGGACCTTTTCAGAGGCGGCTCCCCGGGGGCTGGGATGCTCCCGTTCTTCACCTTCACATCTCAGATCAGTTTAAGGCTCAGCTCCAATCCACCTCCTTCCAGACAGCTATTCCAGCTCCCCTACTTGTTAGCTCCTTCTCCTTCACCCTAAGAACTAGGCAGTACAATGTACAGAGCGCTGGGTTCAAATCAGGTCTCAGACACTTCATAGCTTTGTGACCCTGGGCAAGTCAAGTCACTTAACTTCTGTTTGCCTCAGTTGACTCCCGTGTAAAATAGAGATAATAACAGCACCTACCTCACAGAGCTGTTGTGAGGATTAAATAAGATGATACTTGTAAAGCACTTACCACAGTGCCTGGCATGTAACAGGTGCTTATGTAAATGCCGATTTCCTTCCCCATCAGATCACTGCATATTTATTTTGTACATGTGTGTACATGTACTTATCTGTGACCCTGTTTATACAGGGGCCCTTAACCTGAAGTCCACGGACCCCCGAGGTATTTATGGATAGAGTTTAGAAGACACCCCTGAACTTGGGTAGGAAAAAAAAATTACACCTTTATTTTCACTAATCTTTAGTTTTCTTTGCTATGTATCTTGTGTGTTATTCTGAGGTGTCCACTGACCTCACTAGACTGCCAAAGAGGTCCAGGATGTAAAACAAGATTAAAGAAAACCTGTCCTAGCCAAATGAAGACTGTCGGAAAGCCGACACTGTCTCGTTTTTGTATTTGTATCACCGGTGCCTAAAAATAGTGCTTAGTATATGTTCTTGTTCAGTCTTTGTTTAGTCTTGCCGCCTGACTCTTCGTGACCTCATGTGGGGTGTTCTTGGCAAAGATACCGAAGTGGTTCGCCCTTTTCTTCTCCAGCTCATTTGACAGATGAGGAAACTGAGGTAAACAGTTTAGTGACTTGCTCAGGGTCACACGTGTCTGAGGCCACATTTGAACTCACAAAGATGAGTCTTCCTGATTCCAAGCCTGGCACTTTATCCTAGCTGCCCTGTGTGGTGTGTGGTACACACTTAATAAATACATATTGAGAATGGAAGCTCAGTGACCTCATTTTAAATATTACATTTTCTCCTAGCTTGTCTTTCCCCTATATATCCATTGTTTGGAAAAAATAGATGTTGGGGGCAGGACGGACACACACACACACACACCACACACACACACACACACATATTATTTGATTTACAAGAATATGATGATTCTCAGACCTGAATTACAAAGAGGCTGGGAACATAAAGGTGTTCAAATATGTCTAGTTCATGTATTAGTAACTGCATCCTTTCTAAACCAAAAATAGCACATAAGCACATCATGTAAATCTAGTAAGCAGCACTGTTTCATACCTTCCAGATGTTTCAGGAGTGCTCTACTACTATTGCCATGAGCAGAGATGAGAATAGTTTTGCCACTTCTCAGTTCGGGGGCAATCCTTTCAGTCCAATAGGGAAGAAGCCTGTCCAACACTTCCTTCAGGCTTTCTGCTCGGGGCAGCTGGTCCACAGGCACGTCACAAACCTTGTATCTCCGGTCGTTGTAGATTTCATGATAGTAAGGATGAGATTCATCAATGGGAGGTGGAGTTACATTGTAGCTTCTCCTCCAGATTCTCACTTGTTCTTCACCGTGATTCAGTGCCATTTTCTCCCTGTTAAGGCCTATGAGGGCCCCGTAGTGCCTTTCATTTAGTCGCCAGGAGCTCTCCAACGGAACCCATTCCTGACCCAACTCTTCCAATATCAGCCAAGCAGTATGGATAGACCGATTAAGGACAGAGGTAAAGACAAGATCAAACTCAAAGCGCAGGGCTTTGAGCTGCTTGCCACAGTTTCGGGCTTCCTGCTCTCCATCGCTGTTAAGCTTCTGATCCACCCAGCTGCAAAAGCGATTCTCCTTATTCCAAGCTCCTTCTCCATGCCTTAACAAGACAAGTTTATACTTGGCCATTGCGACAGTGAGTTTTCCTAAAGCTCTCGAATAGACCCACGTTTAAGGATGGCAATGCATCTAGAAAGGGGAGGGGGAAAAGGCAAAGTGAGTCACGCTGCTCCTCCTCCTTCAATACTCTCACTAGGAAGAGGCAGCAAAGACAATAGGTGTTTTTTATTTACATTGGACAGCTTCCAAAGAGAATTAGCATTCCTTTGAACACCTTTTCACACCATACCTACCTAGCCACTCATAGGCTACAGCACATTCTCTGAAGATACCTTACAGATAATTAATTACAGGGAACCCGGCTGACTTGGGTGTCTTGATGGCAAGATATTATGTGTTAATTATAGGGTATCAATTAACAGAACACCTACCTACTACACCCAAATGGTATGTGGTGGTTCCTCCACATGCATAAGCAATGTGGATTCGTTCTGGGGAGAAAGGATTTGGTGGAACGAATGGTGTCAGGGAATGTTGTGTCGATGGGAACACACCTAACTTCTAACAGTGCCTCAGGCTTTGAAGAAGTCCCACCCACCTTTACGTGCCTCCACTTTCTCTCCTTAAAGAGAAAGGAGGTAGAGAAAAGGAATCATTCCTGGGTTCTGGAAAGTTTACATTCCCTTTCTTTCCCAAAGTCTATTAAAAATGGTCACCCCAGAAAAAGAACACGAGCATATCCATGTTATGTAGAAGTCATTCTGAAATACGGCAGCTATCATTATCACTACCCATATTTATATCAACAGTCACCAAGTATTTATTAAACACATAGCATGTGCCAGACACTGTGTTAGATGCTGAAGATGCTGAAGAAAAAAAGGGAGGGGGGAGGGAAGTCTTTTCCCCTAAGGGTCTTACATTCTATTTGGGGAGAAAAAAATGTACAAATAAAAATAAATGTGATAGCTTTGGGAGGAAAGGAAACCTTATTATTTAATTATTTTAAAAGTACTTTCCTTATAACAACCCTGGGTTAGGTAGATAGTAAAACCCATCTTCTACAGATGAAGAAACTGTTTCTTCATCAACTTCTCCAGAGTTACAGAATTGATAAATCAGAAGCCATATTTAAATGCATCTCCTCAGACTTCAAGTCCAGCACTACTCTACCATGCTGCCCCTCATTGTTCAAAATAAACCAAATGCTACAGCTATCCCAAATAGATCCCCAAGCAAGGCTCTAAGGAGCCCAACGTAAAACTGACAGCCATGAAAAATACACGAAAAGACGAACTCAATATGGTGGCACTCACCTGAATGGTCAGAGGCATTTAACTTGCAGCAGGTCTCAGTCCTGCTATACAGGGAAGCCTGTGACAGAAAAAAAACATGGGCACAAAAAACAAGTTATCCAGAGCAGCTGGGTAAAGCTGCCTGGAGGAGCAGATAAAAAACCAAGCAAGGTCTGAGCAAGGTCAAAGACAAGACACAGATAACAGGGCCTTCGCGCTTACACACGAGCCACGCCCTTCACAGTAAGGGCTACTAGTTACATGTCAAAAATACATGGTATCAACCCAAACGACTGCTTAATCCTATGTCCCCTCTCCCCAAAAAGGGGCCATTCTTTTCTAATCCTTGGTTCTTTCACATGTAAAGTGAGGAGGTTTACTACGTAATCTCAGGGCAGGAGTTCTTAACTTGTTTGCATCACCGATGTCTTCGGCAGTCAGGGGAAGCCTAGGATCCCTTCAGAATAAGGTTTTTAAATGCATAAAATAAAACACACAGGACTGAAGGAAACCTATGTCATAATACAGTAATCAAAGGATTGGGTGGCACAGTGAGGAGAGCACCGGGACTGGAGTCAGGGAGATTCATCTTCCTGAGTTCAAATCTGGCCTCAGACACTTACTAGCTGTGTGACCCTGGGCCAGTCACTTAACCCTATCGGCCTTGGTTTTCTCATCTGTAAAATGAGCTGGAGAAGAAAATGATAAATCACTCCACTATCTCTGACAAGAAAACTCTGACAACACAAAAACTAAGGGGTCAGGGAAAGTCAGATAAGACTGAAAAATAACTGAACGATAACACAAATCAAACTATTAGTTTAAAAATCAAGTGAATGGGCCCTAGATTAAGAAGTATTGCTTAATTAAGAGTTCCTTTTGGCTCTAAATCTGCTGGTGATGTTTTGCTGCATATCCTATTCATCTCATCCTCCTCCCACAAGACACCAAAGCTTAGCCAGATGGCTGTTGAACAGTCATTTGACCACTACTTTTATTAAGAAGACTCACGTAACAGCACAGTGCTTAGGTATTTGGAAAAGACAAAAAGATCATTAAGATGTAGTGCCAGCAGTGGTTAAATCATATCTATCCTGGCAAATAAGGCATGTGTTTACATGCATCAGCCCCCAACCTCTTTGATATTTGCAACGTGGGGAGGGAAGATTATGGGAATCACTGGGTCTTGGGCCTCCTCTGCTATTCTTAGCAACTCATTAATCTCTGAAATTCTTTCCCTGTTTACTAAAAGACAGTGATTCACCCAGAAATACATCATCATCAGTAGCAAGGTTAAGACTCTAGACTCAACATTTCTCTCTCTCTTTAGAGGCGTCTAGAGCTACAGGAAAAATGCCTTTTAAAAGGAGCCCGAGGGTTGGTGAGAAACAAAGGAGGGAGAAGATCTGGAAGTCATTAAGATGAGGTAGCATTTACATTTAAGTTTTCTCTTTCCCGGAAAGTTTGGGGCTTGGGCATTTCTTTGTTTGGAGCTAGAACAAGGGTGCAGTGATTTAGGGCTATGGCAGCTCCAGACTATTTACCTAGTTAAGACTACCTCTGGGGTGAGGGTATGGGAAAGAGAATTCTGTGCCCCTCACCTTGAAGGCCAGGAAGAAGGCAGAGATGAGAGAAAAGGAGTGTCAAGGCATTCAGACAATAAGTGATCAGTTCTGGCTCTCCTTTCAAAAGTAATTAATGCCAAGCTGCAATTCTCATCTCAAGCGGGCTCTGTAAGCTGCAGCAGCTATCTTTAAAGCAGAACTTCATATCTATATGTGTGTGTATACATACACATGCATATATACACAATACACACATTTGTGCACTCATGTGTGCATACATGCATATGTATATATACATACACATATGTATGTATGTACATAGGCATGTGAAAAGAAATGCTAGAATCCTTCCCTCAACCTCCAATATACATAGCAACAAATATACAGAGGAAGGGGTGAGTTGATGGTTATATAAGAATAAATGGTAAATACACTGAGTACTAGAAAAAACATGGACTCTTGAGTCATAGGGCCTAGATACACTGATTCCACTTATTACTACCTATGCGACCCCGGGCAAGTCACTTCTCTAAGTTTCCTCCTCTGTGAAACAAAAGGGTTAGACTAGATTTTTGTGGGGGTCTCTTCTGGTTTTACAACCTGTTATCCTAATATAAATCCATATAAACATGTTGTTTTATATTACACTGATGCTTCATCAGGAGGTGACCCTAGAGTTTCAAGGGTTATGCCAACAGATCACTCAGCTTGCACTCAGCTGAAAAAGTAGAGTATGGCACCAGTAGTAAAAATTTGTTGCTGGATATTACGAACATGTGGCCTCAGACTAAATTTTTGAGGGGGTAGAGAGATAGCAATTCTGAGACCATTTAAGTTCTGGTGGGCAGTGAAGGAAATTATATCTATTAAATTACAGATCACTGACACATGCATAAAATTAAATTTATAATATATCATAATTACAATATTCTTTTATGTAATATATATAATATAATTTTATTTATTTTTATTTTTATTTATATATATATGTGTGTGTGTGTGTGTGTGTGTGTGTGTGTGTGTGTGTGTGTGCGCGCGCATAAAGTAGCCAACAAAGTACCAGACCAGGAGCTCAGCTTTTCTGCCCTCTAAGATCTTTACTTTAAAAGGTTGTTTCCTTTTGAGTTCTGTATCTCCTCCCTCTTCCTGCTTCTCACCTTAGTTTTTAGCACAATGCCCTAAAATACTCAATGTTTAGTGTACTGAATTTCTGTCCCAGTTCTCCCAAATGGCAATTCTCATTTTCCTGTTGCTGCAAATGCTTGCAAAAGAAACAGCAAGGTTATGATGCTTTGAAGCTCAAGAGGCTCACCTTATAACATACAGACTAAGAGGGCAGGTTTTACAAAATGTTTCCAAGTTGGGGTATATCTCTAGGATAGTATCACAGAGCTAGGAGGGCCTCTGAGGGGTGATGTACACCAATTCCCTCATTTGACAGATGAGGAAACTGGGGCTGCAAGAGGCGAGGTCAAACGTCTTAAGTCGAAAAATGTTTAAAGAACATTAATGCTGTGGCATATACACATGCTTGGAACGAAAGAGATACCATGGTTGGAAATCAAACTGTAAGGGAACAAGGGAGCCAGTTCAGTCGGCAAATTAGAGTGTTATTCTAATGCTCTGGCCACTACAATTTCAACACAGCAACACTGAGGACTAACGAATACTATAAAATAAGACTGAGAATTGAGAGGTACAAAGCTGTATACCTACAGACTTCAGCAGAAAGAGAAGCCAGGAATTTGAAGCACATCAAGCACTCCCTTTAGCAGGAAAAGGTCAGCTCAGTAAGGGATACATACCCACACATACACACTTAAAATCTACGTTTACAAAGAAAGTTAAAAAATAGCCATTATATAAAAACAACAAACCAGCAATTGTTCAGAGGATGACTATGTAATGGGAACGGACACACTCTCTATGCTATTGTTGTACGGAAGGAAGGAAGGAAGGAAGGAAGGAAGGAAGGAAGGAAGGAAGGAAGGAAGGAAGAGAAAGGAAGGAAGGAAGGAAGGAAGAAAGAAGAGAAAGGAAGGAAGGAAGGAAGAAAGAAAGAAAAAAGAAAGAAAGAAAGAAAGAAAAGAAAGAAAGAAAGAAAGAAAGAAAGAAAGAAAGAAAGAAGAAAGAAAGAAAGAAAGAAAGAAAAAGAGAAAGGAAGGAAGGAAAGGAAGGAAGGAAGGAAGGAAGGAAGGAAGGAAGGAAGGAAGAAAGAAAGAAAGAAAGAAAGAAAGAAAGAGAAAGGAAGGAAGGAAGAAAGAAAGAA